AGCCATTAGTAAAAAACAATTTTCTAAAATATTTCGAATAAATATTGAACCAAAAAACTTTTTATGAAGTGAAATTTTAACCTATCTTAGCTGAAAATATCTGAAGAACATAGAGAAATGTATCCCTTTAAGTATGTAGCCCGATGAATAACAGTAATGTCTGAGTAGAGTAATACTGGATTAGAGTGGGATCTAATCAAACAAGCATTCCCAATAATGCCAAATAAGGAAATATATGAGATTATAGGCGATCACGGCTAAGAACACTTCATGATACAACCAACTATTGCAAAATAAACAAAGGGTTTGGATATACACACTACACCCTACATCATTTTAATATAACTGCATATCATGTAAGCCCTACCTAGAAACTGCAACACAGATGGACTGGACGACACTTTTGGTAACTTGGCAATGAACTTGAAGAATGAATCTGCAGCTGCCCTCCTTTCTCTGAGCACATCATCTGACACAAGCAAGCCCTAAAAATAGAAGAGAAACCATGAAGAAGAAACATTGTACAATTGATGGTAATCAATAAACTTTTTAGATAGGAATAACCATTTGTCTCTGACGCATTGGACGCGGGACAATGCTAACAAATTCACAACGAGAGTGAGGCCATTTGTATTGACCTGCGCGCCATCTAACGAGCAATTAAATAAGCCTGCTCTACTTTTTAGTCATGTAATTTTAGTATCTATGATTTACAGAGTTGTAGTCCATTATTTCTCGACTAGCCTTTGTAATGTAAATCTGAACACACTTGCATGTAGTGTGTACGCCCTGCAGTATAATCAATAAATTGTTTATTTATATTAAGTATTTATTCATAAATTGGCACTGTGATTTCTGTTAACACACAAAATGTGTTTTACAGGATAAACTTGCTATGCAATTCACATCAATTTGGATTAAGAATACCAGGACCAAAAATGTTACTCCCAATAGTTTCACAATTTTACTTACCTTATGAGGCAGAGGTGGGAAAAGTGTGGCTGGATATGCTTCGCTTAGTTTAGCATGAAGTTCTTCAAACTCACTGTATCGCTTGTTCAACTGTTAAAGGTGCACGAAAATAAAATAAATGCAATAAAATCAAAGTTGTAATAGGTGGTAAATAAGGTGGTAAATTACCAAAGTAATGAAACATTAAATACTAACATTTAAAGAGATACTTTCCCCTAGAACTTTAGTGTACATTATCAGGAGTAGATAATAAGGAAGGAGTGTGACTTCAATAAA